GCAAATTATGTGTCGGCTGACTCTCCCAGCGAGCAGGTTTCTAAACCCGGCCTCCCGGCCACTGACTCCAAAGCCTCCTTCGAGGCACACGTCAGAGAAAAGTTTAACAGGATGGTAGAGGCCGTGGACAAAACGATCGAGAAGCGAATCGACAAGCTGACCAAAGAGCTGGCCCAGAAGACGGCGGAGCTGCTGGAGGTGCGGGCAGCTTTCGTGCAGCTGTCCCAGAAGAAGCAGGAGGTGCAGCAGCGGGAGCGGGCCCTGACTCCAAAGCCTCCTTCGAGGCACACGTCAGAGAAAAGTTTAACAGGATGGTAGAGGCCGTGGACAAAACGATCGAGAAGCGAATCGACAAGCTGACCAAAGAGCTGGCCCAGAAGACGGCGGAGCTGCTGGAGGTGCGGGCAGCTTTCGTGCAGCTGTCCCAGAAGAAGCAGGAGGTGCAGCAGCGGGAGCGGGCCCTGAGCAGGCGGTGGACGTGGCGGTGGAGATGATCGCAGCCTTGAAGCAGCGTCTCACTGAGTCTGAGGAGGAGCTTCACCGGAAAGAGGAGTAAGTGGAGAGACAGAGCTGATGGCTTTGTGCAGGCTGGCCAGCACCTGTGCGAGTGACGGCCTTTGGGGGAGAAGAGGGGGGATGGTTGGTTGGTTGTTGGCTTTTAAACAGCCTGGTGCTCTCCAGCTTCTGATCACTGTATTTCTGGAGTTGTAGCCCATGTGACCACATCCCCTGAAAGGCAGGGGACAGTTCCCCAAGCAGGTGGCTTTCATGCTTGACTCCCCAGTGACTAACTTTTACACTCTCTAATGCCTGTATTCTGTCCCTGGTTTCATGGGGTAGAAGCTGTTGTCATGGGAGTAGGTCAAGTAGAAGCTGTTGTCAGCATGTAATCTGTTCCACTGACACCTCTAACCCGTTATCTTTTTAAGAAGAGATGGGTGGATAAGTGCTGGAGGAAATATGTAAGAAAACTGAATAGCACCTTCTCCCTGAAGTCATCCCACCATGCTCAGCAGGCTGCCTGAGGTGTGGGATGGTCTCCTGTGCAGCAGCAAAGCTGTACTGGAGACACTGCTGAAAAGGCCATGTCCAGGTAGGTGTTTTAGATGGCTACACAACTGTGAAGCTGGAGGTGCTTATATGGGGACGGGAAGCAGGTGCCAGAGTCATTCTGACTAACCTCGGCCATCTAAAACATATGTTTGTGATGCAGCCATTAAAAATGTAGTGATAGCTGATATATTATTTATACATGAACTACTTAGTTTATTCAGCACTTGCTGAAACCTTTGAGGCTTTTTGGAGCAGCACAACTTATTTCAGACGAATGCAAATAAAGATTCTTGGTAATGGAGTGCCTCTACACCAATTCATCAGCTTACAAAGAGAAGATGAGAAGTGCTAGTTGCCATGACGCTGATCTTGGAAGAAATAAGGAAGGTGGTGTAGGAGTTCAGTGTAGGAAGTTTGGAGGGCTTTCATTGCTCCTTCCTGCAGTCTAAGGACTAGAAGGAAAAGGTGATGATGGCTCCTGTATCAGTAGGAGTCATCTATCTTGAGGCAGTGCTATAGATTTCCCAGAAGAGAGGACAGCAAAGGTGGTGGGATTTGAGCCTCTGGGTTGTATACCTTCCTTGAAGGCATATTCAACAGAACCTCTAATTTTTGAAATGGCAGGTGATCCTCATGGAAAAGAAGATTGAAGGACTCAAGGTGAAGCTAAATATAGTAGTGGAACAGGGACAAAGTATGCTGGAATGTGGCCATGAAGATAACTTACAGTCTGAATCAGTTTTGATATTCCCATCTAGCCAAGCTCCCCTTATGGGCTCTTTCACAGTGTGATGCATCCTACTTGTTCTAGAAAAGTATCTTGGAGGGGGAGGGATTGCTCTGTGGAGGCCCTTCTTCCCTCTACAGACTAGAGGGGACCTCAGATAAGCAGCTGTCTTAGGCTGGATGCTGAACTTCAGATATCTGAAGTTAAGTGATATGAATCTTGCCCCAAACTAAATGCAGAATCTGTTTTTAAAATTCAAAGTTTGAGGTCCACATGACTATCAGGAGAAAGCAGAAACCATTCAGTGGTGCAAAACCAGAGTTCTGCTTTGCTGCAGAAGAAAAGAGCTCATGAAAAAAAAGAGGAAGAGGGGGGAATAGAGTTATCTGGGTGTGATACAGGGAGTACAGCAAAGGACACTGATCTGTGGAAAGAAAAAGGCAGCAAGAGTTGCGATTTTTAACTGTATTAGGAAAAGACTGAGAAAGAGGCTGCTTGCCCCCTTGGCAGACTGCTTGCTAGCAGCAACAGCAGGCTGTGGTTCTGAGGACAGAAAAGACTGAACACAGAATGAGGGGAGAAGTGGGAAAACACTGTCCTTCACCCTAGGACATTGCCAAGCTTGGGAAAGGGACAGGAGCTCAGATGATTGCTGTTATAATTCTAGCCATGTCTAAAGGAGGAGGGGTGAATGCATAAGCAGATGAGGAGGTAGCTCCTAAGTTGGTGTTACAAGGGAGACTGAAGGTTATTCGATTGGTAATAAACCCTAACCAAAAGAGGCAGCTGCACAAGAGACTCCACCTGAGTACCCAGGGTACTGCTTTTACTGCTAGCTTGCTTCAGCTTATAAATAAAGAGGATAAAAAACTTGGAACCAAAAGTATCAATAGAAATGAGTGAATAGTTACACAGTGGTGTGTTCATTTCTAAAGGTAAATGAGTCTAATCCTTCTAGTGGATAGGATGAAAGAATATCAGCCCAGAGTACTGAGGAGGAAAGAGGGGAGTAATAGTATGTTCTAACATGTGCCCATACCTAGCTCCATAGCATTGCCTCTTAGAAGTCACTACGAAGGTACGCTGAGGAGGCTGGGAGGGTAGGCAGGGTGAAGGGTAGGTAAAGTTCACCTAGGAAAAACTGAGTATGTTATTTTTTTTTTTTTCTTGTTCAAATGGTTCCTGCATTTCCAGTCTTGGAGGATAACAAGGGATAGTGCCATAGAAAACTGCACCATATGGCTTCCCAATTAAAAGGTCATTGTTAAATTAGCAAATTAAGAAGGAAGGTAGATTATAAATAATGCTTTGTAAAAGCAGGACTAGTACTTATAGGGGCATCTTTTCAGATCTGAACTTCTAAAAATGTCTGGGACATTTATCTTTGCACCAGTAGGCAGGAGGCACTGGATGGTATGCTCTGGTAGAGGGGGGAAGAAAGGATGTTCATGACTCTGGTAACAACAGTGTTTTTCTTACAGACTGCTGGTAAATTCTGAGACCTTGCTACATATTTATTCCTTTGTGTATTCAAAAACTTATTTGATGTGCTGAAAAGACTTTCTCCTTCAAAAAAGGAGGATCTCAACTTTGGCTTTGATTTCTGGAAGAAGTCCAGATGATTCGAAAGCCAAACAAAACTGCTTAATGGAAATTGCAGAAGCAGGAGTTCTCAGTGCAGATTGTGGAAAGTCAAAAGCAGCCCTGAGGGACTGCTTTGACACTTGCTGACCTTCAGCTGCTTTAACCTTTTTTTTTTTTATAAGCAATCTTGTGAATATGGATAACTTTTCCCAAAACTAGTATTGATATTAAGCCACTGTAGCTGAAAGTTGGGTTTTTTTCCGTCTTTGTAGGAGGAAAAAGAAAACACCTTATTCTCTGAAACACCTCCTTATCTTATTTCTAAGGAAGTAAAGAAAAAGAGTCTTCCTTTGGTCTCTGAATGGTTGTCCCTACTACCAAGGATGATGGAATATGGTGCATGTAAAGACAAAAAAGGGTTTATAATCAATATGCACTTCTAGACCTCAGAAAGACTGAGATATGGCTACTCTAGATCAGTCTGAGGGTAAAAAAACAAAACCAAAAAAAAACCACCACCCAACTAACTCCACAAACTATCTAGAAGAGGAAAAAAAAAAGTAGTCTAAATCTTAGATAAGATCACAAAAACTCTTCTTTGGAGGCTCTTCTAGAGAAGAAGCTGAAAACTTATGGGGATCCCTTCAACTACCTCTTCAAAAATAACAATGTTCTGATAAAGAAGTTAGATGTTTATACTGGGTCCATATTTGAGGATTGTTCCATGTCCACCTACTCTTGTCAGTATCCTATATGAATGGACAGTCACTATCAGTGATCAGATTACTCCACAATACTGAATTCAACAATCCAGTATATTTTCATCTTTATAAAATGTGCTGAGATAAGCCAGGGACCTATTTGGGCTGTTAGGCTAGACCTGCTTCTACATATAAGAATGAAAGAATTAGCCAGCTATGGAAAGTAGAGGAAGAGGTATTTGCAGGTTTAACCATCACTCCTGACCCATCAATTGGCTGGGAGTGGGAGGTGGGAGGATTGGAAAAAGTTGGGATTTAAGAAACTTCCTCTTTAGAAAGGTGTACAAGAGGACAACAGAAAATAACGGTACAATTACACTGTGGGTAGTGGCTTTGATCTTGGATCTGATTGTGAAGTCAAAGAGGGAAGCTAAGGGAGAGAAAAAATGTGCGTTAGCAAGCAGAATTTGTTTAGGAAGCCCCACGAATGCTTAGGTAGGAGAGGTCTAAATTCTTTGTTTAAACATCTGGGTTTCCTGAATAAGGAGATGGAGGGAGCTCTTCTAGGCCTCACATCTTTCCTTTGTGCCCAGCCTACTGAAGGCATACACTGCACTGCTGTGACCCTGGCAGTCCTTAGCAGAGGCTATAGAACTGAAGTCACTTTGACTTGAGGGGATTTCATTTCTACCTCTCTGTTCTGCCTCTGAAAGCCCATGTGTCCTGAGCCTTTGCCTGGACCAAGCACGTGAGATAGATACATAAAAGCTGTCATCTACCAAGGAGCTGCATTGTCAGAAGCTGGTTTCTCTGATGTGTTCTCCAAAGCAGGCCACACGTCTCTAAACTTCATCAACTTCATATAGGGAGTAAATTCTTCTGTGAGTTACATTGTCATTGCTAATCAAAGCAGTATTTTCAAATGTCAGCACTCTGAGGTTTCACTGTTGACCTCTCATTCTGATCAGAGGGAGGAGTGTTGGTTTAGGCCACCAGCAGGCACAGGGCGGCCCATTTGAAGAGTTTATAGGGTCAGTAAGGTTATTTCTGTAGACTTGTCCATTGATTATTTTTGTTTGTTTTAAATAAAGCCTATAGCAGTCCACCAAAGGTAGTGCTAAAGCAAAGATCTCTTTTGCTTAAGCTTTATTTCTTTTTCCCATACAAAAATGGCTGTGTCAATACGTAGGCGGGTGCACGCTGTTACACTAGTGATGCCCTCATGGAGGTGAACTGTGTCGAGGGGTAGGACAGGTGGAGGTACCACATTAACTATACTAATACATAATTGAAATAGCATTACTCTAAGCACTGAAAAGTTTTACAGCAGTCACTCTTGTGTTACTTATTCTCATATTTAGAAGGTTCAAAGGCCAAAGCTTTTTATTTTTTTGTGGGGGAGGAAAAAAAAAAAAAGAAAACTGATGTTCTACAGAAGCAGGCACAGCCACCAAAGACAGGTCCCATTTCACCAGCTTGCTTCAGTT